TAGGACACAATCTTAAGCCGAACATTTCGTTCACTATATCCGGGAGTTCACTATAAACCGTGTTCACTATAGCGGGGTTTGACTGCATATATATATATATATACTAACTTGCAAAACGAAATATTTTTTAAGATAAACAATTATTTAATGTTAAACTTTTGAAGATTTTAGTAGTTAAACATCTCAAGACAATACATTTTTGAATTTGTGAAACTTAACTTCATGATAGATACAAATCATACAAACGGCATTACAAAGCATAATTTTTTCATTAAAAATTGTCTTTTTTAAGCATTTGAAAAAAAAATAATAAATAACTAATAAATTAATATTTTACACTAACAAAATATAACACATCCATAAATGAGGAACTTTTTCAAAGTGTCATTTAAAATGTCCTATCCCCAAACTTTTAGTTTGTTCAGCCATTTAAAAACAAACAAAAAAATAAACCAGAAACAAATTTACTCCATTGTTTTGTTTAATTATTCATCATATTTGAAAAAATCAATTACATTTTTTTCCTTCAAAATAATGCCTTTGTGCAGAAATTCAAATACTATTCATGAGCAATATTATACAATTATGATATTCAGTTGCGTAGAAACACTCTGTATTGCTGGATCCACAATATATATTTATTTGGCAGTGAAAACAACTAGACTAATGCCAGGTCATTGTCTATCATTTCCTAATTCGTCCACTTGAATAACTTTGCAATAAGAAACTACGCTGGGACATTTGGTAACAAATCTATAGAAGTCATATACATTCAAAAATGTAATTAAGATTAATCAAATGTTTACAGGCGTAAGTGGTTTATTTTTACCTCCTTTGCAAAGTAACCAACTTTACTTTTGAAAATTGGTACATTTCTATGGATATTTCTTCTTATATACATATTTTTATTTAATATTAAAAAGAGAGAAACTTGTTGGAAAGCATATAGGTTGGAAGACAAAAATGTAGGAGCAAATTCACCAGAGGGTTATACAGCATGTAAAAAATATTTGAAGAAAAAGAAATCAGGCTTATTTACAGTGTAAAATCAGAGAGTGAAAAAGATAATTTATGCAGGTGGAATAGTAATTAATTTCTGAGTTTTGATACACTAACTTTCACACTAGTATTTAGCTCTCTCGTAGCGCAGCATTTTAACACTAGTCTAGCCTTATGGTAATGCTGATTTAAAATCCTGCCAAGTAGTAATATCTGATTTTGACATCATGACGGATATATTAAATGCAATTTTTGCATACGGATTGTGCATGAAGCTGATCCTTATTATGCATGAAGCTGATCCTGTGCATTGTGCATGAAGCTGATCCTTAAGTTCTGAATTGTTTGACGAATCTCTTTAATCATAATTTATGACAGTATAATTACTAAGTAATTTTCACAAAAAATAATAATCGTAAAACAATTTATAAAATTAGATAACAATTTAAATAACTTTATATTAAAATGTAGCGTAGAATTACGTAACAAAAAAAATTTTTTTTTTTAGTTTTAAACTCTTAACTTAGAAAACAATTAAACAGGGTGCGTAGCCAAATTATTCAACAAAAAATAAGCACCTCTTAAGCACTTTTCAAGCACTCAAAAGATATTTTAAGCACTATAAAAAAGTATCATAATTGGGCAAGGTTGGAAAGCTTTTGACAATTGACGGTTTTATCTAGTTTCAACCATCATGTCAAAAAAAAAAAAAATTGGCATTTTTTTTGACAGATGTTAAAAATCATGAAGTTTTGAATCATATAAAACAAGGAGTTGAATGAATTGTGAAAACGTTGAATAGAAAAATGTGAACTGAGTCTTTTGGCATAATTTGCAGCTAAAATCAACACGGTAAAGGAAAAATCTCATTTTGAAAAAGGGAAAAGTAAGCACCTTTAAGCACTTTTTAAAAATGCTACGCACCCTGTTAAAATCAAAAGCGTAATAATAGTAGCACAGGTAAATTATCATTAAATTAGGATGCAAAAATATTTATAGGAAAATACCTTTATGACTTTTATTCCTTTTTTCTTAATGACAACTAAACCAATATGAAAAACAAGGTAGAAAAATTGGATCCTACCATGTAATTTCTTCGGTTAATTCATAGCAATGGAAAACTGTGTTAGATCTGTATGATTTTATATTATACAAAGTTTTTAATGCCTATCACTTACAATAAAAAATTGTATGATGATACACCCTTATTTGGCAGGATTCTAATTCCGCTTGATGTATAAATGCCAAACAATCGTGAGAGAAAAGCCATAGAATAAAGATAGTGTTTTGGATATAAACAATAAAACATTACCTTTGAAACCACATCTAATTTATCGTTAATTTTAGAATAAATCTTAAAATTAAATAACTAGTTAAAAAAATAATGATCAATCACAAATAAAATTTCAGACAAACAAAGAATTAAGTTGAATCTTTTTCACTTAAATCAAATACGAAGCACATAAATTTTTAAACCAATCTGCATATGATATAAACAGTCATAGATCAAAATGATGAATTATCCATGGAGAAAGTTGGAAGGTAATACTTTCCATAGATTATAATAAAACATGTAGAAAGGTTATTGATAGCTCAAACATTAATGGAAGTTAAAAGTTTGGTTAGGAAGAGAACTTTGAGTTACCTAAAATGACTTGACTTACATCTAGCTAACGTCATCGCAGAAGAATACACATTTTAATAATTCACATTAATTAGTATCACCCAAAAACATCACAGTGATCAGTTCCCTAACACTGGCAGAAGCCTAGAAATGGGCATAGTTCAGAAGTTATAAAATTATAATATTACAAACACTATTTTACATTCAAAACAAACATACATATATAACATTTGGATGAAATAACGCTTTAAAAATGTCAATGTTTACAAAGCAAAGATTTTCTTAATAACTCTTAATTAAAAATTTGCTTAAAATATAATGAAAAAAATTCCAACACTTATCTGTTATTTTAATATGTACAGATAATATATACACATATATAGTAGAGCCTCAATTATCCAAAGGCAATTTACAGGATTGTGTTCCCACCTTCTGCTAAGGAAAAAAAAAATGTGAAAATTAACTTTTAGTTTTCAGAATATGTGAAAATAGAAAATGCATTTTTTATTTTCAGAATATCTGGAAGGGGCCAAAATATAGCCCTCTTTGTCCTAAGGCAACCTTGAAAGAAACCTCTTCTTACTGCCCTGTTTCAATGTGGGTGGCAGGTAGTTTCTAATAAAGTTTCAAAAAATTACATTTTTAAATATGCCATTTGTAATATGCTATAAACATGCACTACTACAACAGCCAATCCTGAAAAAATTTGAAGGGAAGTTACTTAAAAAAATAGTTGTTTCTTAAAGTTGTCCAGTTATCTGGATTTTTCCTTATCCGGATCGGCTCTGGTCTCGAATGGTTCGGATAATCGGTGCCCTACTGTGTGTGTATACAGTGCACAAAATAAAAAAAACGGACCACCCTAAATAACTTTTAATCAAATGAATGGATCTTCACGTTCTAGGACACAATCTAAAGAGTTTGAGAGGGTGACTTTAAGTATGCTTATTAGTTAGTGCAGACGATATTTTAAGTCATGAAATCAGACACAAAAGCTTATTTCCTCTGAATAATTATACCTTTTTTTTTTTTGACAAATTCGGATGGGTAACCGCAACCTGGGAAATATGGTCCCCATAGTTTGGTCAGGAGAGCAGTCTAAAGTTCAAATCCCTTAAAGTTAATTTTATTTTTTGTTTGTTTCGTATTTTTTGTTTTGTTTATTTTGTTGAACTTTTTAAGCGAATTGAAACATTTTTGCACACAATTAAAAAATTTGTTAATCTAAAGATAATTCTTTGTAAAATAAAACTTATAGTAAATATTTATTATTTTTTATTATTTTATTTAACAATAGTCAAAAAAGTTTTGAAATGTAAAGTATAAAATTTTTCCCATCATTTTAAAGAATGTCAGTTAATGAATGTCAAACTACGTTTTTGCGCCAGATTTCATAACTTAAAATATCGACTGCACAAACTAATTTGCATATTTGATGCAACCTCCTTATATCATTAAGATAGTGTCCTAGAATGTGAAGACCCTATCATTAGATCAAAAGTTATAAATTGTGGTTTCTTATTTTGCACTCTGTACATTATATGTAATTTATTTTTACTATTTTGTTTCTGACCCATACTTATTATCATTTTGTATGTTATTATGTTAATACAAAATATTTGGTTTTCGAACTAAAAAAAAGTGGTGCCAAGGAACTCTTTTGAATATTAAGTATGACAAATTGGATGTGACGAAGCAATCTTAAAATAAAAATAGCCTACAAAACAAATAATATTTTCTGAGATTTTCTAGTTACTAGAAATTACAATTTAATACCTAGTTTTCAATTAACTTATACAATACTGATACTTTATACAGATTTACACTAAAATTATACTCTAACTCTACCTTCCATTCTTTCTTTTTTTTTCTAAAACAACGAAAAAATATATAATTCATATATTTAAATTCTATAGATACCTAACATTTGATTTTTGATAACCTAACTAGCAATACTATAGATAATGTACTTAAAACTCTAAAAACTAAAACACCATAGAGAAATTGTCATTGTAGAAGTAAATCGGAAAACATATTTTAAATGGTTATGTTAAAAAAGTGTAACAAACAATATTTTAGTGCAGCAAATAACCATATACAAAATCAAAATATTTTGAAGATTACATTGATAAAACTGCACAATATAAATTTCTAATGCTTCACTAATGTTAAAATTTTCTGATGCTTACTAAGGAGATATTGTATTTGAATTTATTTACAATTCATATAAACTTTTATACACAGGTTGCACACAATTATTCACAACAAAATATGTTTGAGCATTTATGACATTATAGAAGGAACTGATAAATACCATGAAAATAGAATACCTAAATCTAGCACAAAATCACAAATTAGTTAATATTAGTTAATATTTATCACAACAATAACATAATTTAATTCACTGTCTTCAACTACGAAAAAATATAGAACATATTTGAAAAAGAGGTGATAGTAGACTAAAGTAAGAGTTTCTTACTCTATGTGGAAATGTAATCTGAACTTGACCCCCGATAAAAAAAAACTGTGACAATACTCTTATATATATAGAAGTAAACTATATCTTTTTCAACAAAAAAAGTTCAATAGTTATTATATAGTTCAATAGTTAATATATGTTAAGAAACTCTAGCATTGAATAAAAAATTTAAATTTGCAAATCATTATAACAAAAAAAAATATATGTACCTTGTTAATCTGAACTGTTCAGGCAGAAACTTGTGAAATATCAACATAAGATATGAACGTTCAAAACAATTTACTGTAAATTTGTAAAACAAAATATTATTTTTTTTTAATCTAAATAATTTTGTAAATGGCAGCTCAAATGTTTTGCAGATTTTAGACCTTAAACACCCCTGATTTGAAAATATTGTAATAAACTACAATATCTAACTGATATGTAAACTAATGATTTCTATCATTAGATTTAAAATTTTAAAATTAAGATCAATAGAAATTAAATGCCTTTAAAATAATTATGCAGAAAAACATGAGAAAGCACTGAAAAATATATAGAACTTTTGAAATATTTAGACAGCAAAGTTTAAAGAAAAACGAATTAAATAGTCATCTCATAAAATATTCCTCATATAAATATCAAGCTCTTTAAACTGTATGAAATAATTAAATTCGATATCCTGAAATAATTATGAGCAAAAATATTTTTATAGATGAAACAACTTAATTTAAACTATAAAACCATGAATTAGATTATTTAATCATTCATAACTTTAAAAATACATTTACTTTGTAAGTATAATTTTAATTAAGTTTTAATCCAGTTTTTTCATTAAAAAAATGTGTTTTAAATTCAATTTAAATGGGTAAAATGATTTCCGAAAATGGAAATAAATGTTTATACATAATTGACTATTAAATAGCAAATACAATAAAGGAAAATATAAAATAAAATTAACAAATCAATCTATACTTTTATTTATTAAAACAATTAGGTTAAAAAATAAATTATATTCAAATGTACTTCTTAACTTTAATAGCATAAGGCACACTAATATATAAAGAGATCCAGAAACCTAAAATTGCAAGCATAGAATTGCTCAAAAAACAATTCCGTGTAGTTACAAATTCACACTAAGGTTAAATAAAAATTTGGAAAATGTAAATCTCCGCTTCAAAAATTTTATTTTACAAATTCTGATCTTAATAGACTGTAAATTCAATTTTATTTAGTTAAATAGCAAATATTATCTCAGAATGTATTGTCATGATATAAAAAACTTATTTCTGAGTAACATATAAAATTTTATGTTGATTAGATACCTTTAAACCTCAGATGGCAACTTTTTTTTCTATGTTATTCAAAAAGAGAGTTGGTTGCAGCTGAAAACTTTCAAAACCTTGCCCAGTAAATTAAATTTTTAGAAGTTAGTAATGTTTTCTCAGGTCAGAACCTTGATAATTTATTTCCTCTATAAAAAATGATTATTTCAAAATATTTTAATTACATTATTCTTTAAAGCAAAATTTAATATCCAATAATTTTTAAAAAAATTCTTAGAAAATGCTGATTATTAAAAATTTTGAAAAATTCATGTCTTTAGAGTAACTTTTCTAAAATATTAACTCTTAATACATTCCACATTTATTTATTTTATTTCTATTCTAGTAATTACAGTCTGGTAAAATTTGAAAAAAAAAAGTCTAATTGTTGACTTTAAAATTTAAGCATTTAGAGCTTTTATATTTAAATTACAAAAAAAGACATTTTAGTAAGCTTTAAGCAACAAAAATATCAAAGAAATAACATCTTAAATACTTTTCTATCAACGTCAAGAACATTTAATGAATTGTCAATACTGATTTAACCATAAATATCTATAAAATGTTTTTTGATTACATTAAAAAAATGTTAATGATGCTAAATACTATTGTTTTAATATTTGAATGAAATTAAATACTAACATCCTATTATAACACATAAAACTTTACAAAGCTATAGCGACTCTATTTTCTTATTAAAATTGTTTTTAAAATTGTCTTAAATACCTCAGATTTCCTTATTTACAAATTTTAGAAAATGAAATGGAAGTATGAATGATTTATAGTGAACATGAACATAAACAAGCAAATCAGCATTGTAAAAACTACAACACTCAAAATATTTACAAGATATAACAATTAAAGAATGGAAGAGTCTGAATGTGATATAACTATAACCTAACTATAACACACACACATGATTTTTTTTGATATATTATCATAGTCTACATGGATATGTAAAGAAATGCAAGTTGTAATACATATTGTAATTTAAGTACAATGCCAAAGTTAATAATTATTTAAGAAACGAATATACAAAATATACATTTAAAAGAATTCAAAAGAATTAAAAGGAAGAAAAAGAATTAAAAGGTCTGAAGAAGTTTAACGCATTAACTTAATAAAACTAAAATATAATATTAAACCTATACCTTTAACATAAAAAATTATTAACCAATCAATAAAAAAACATTAACATTAAAATAAATGAGAACATATAGGATTATGTTTAACATTGGCTTTGGAAATTTTTCTAACTATATTTTTATCAAAACACTATCCTTCAGTATAAATAAGCCTTATTCAATTATAACTAAGTACTTATGGAATAATTTTGTACAGTTTAAAAAATATACTCTAATTTTATTTACACCATTAATGTTTAAAAGTTAAAAATGTAATGAATTGGCACAGTTCAGTAAGCTTTGGAAGGTAATAGAAAAACATAAACAAATTTAAATAATTTTTTTTTAAACACTACCATTTAATTTTATATATGTATCTACACAAAAATTTATAAAACATGTAGTTTTTACAAGAAATTACACACATTTCTTACACAAGAGTATGTGTTTAGCTTTTAGTAATAAAAAACATTTTAATGTACAGTGTGCATAATGAAAATTTGAACACCTTAATAGCTTTTGATCTGATTGTCAGGCATTGACATCCATTCTTACGGAAAATTTCTTGAGTTAAAAAAAAAAAAAAATTTAAAAATTTGAATCGAAAAATTAGAAGAAAATTTCAACAAGGATTTATCCTTTTTCTCAATATTTCTTAGTTTACATAAAATATATTTAAAATTTCACACATATCTATGATGACCTAGAGAAGTAATTGAAATTTACAAATATGTCTTTCTTTCTTCAGTTTATGATTATAACTATTTACTGATAAAAAATTAAAATTAATCCTAAATATAAGCTTATAAAGTAGTTCTCCTAACAAAGAAATAAAATAAACTGTGTTTTTAAGTTCCACCTTTGAAAATTTGATTTCTGAAAACTTTTGTGATCAATGATTTTTTGAAACATCTAAACCTTCGATCTCTGGAAACTTCCGGATCACAATTAGCGAAAAATCCGGAAATCCGGATTTTTTCCGGAGCACAATCAGCCCTGCACACGTAATTGTAATTTATCAAATCAAAATGCGTAATTGTAATTAACAAAATTCAAAATTTGAAAGAAAGTACTTGAATATTAATGAAAATTATAAAACTTAAGATCATATCCTAGTATGTGAAAATTTGGTAATTAGTTCTGAAGTTAGTAAAGTGTTCCATTCATTATTTTGCACAGTGTACATAATTAAACCTCTGAGCGTTTTTTTTGGCTGTTTTTGAACTTTTAGCTTACTACAACACATAATCAGTTTCAACCATGCTTTTAACAAGAAGAAAGTGCATGGCATGAAAATAATGGTACATTTTTTTCAGTATCGTAAAGTTTGGAGAATTAAAGCATTTTATGTACAAATGGTGGCTTACCACAGATTATATGTAAGAAAACAGTTTTATAAGGGAAAGAAACTGTGTTTACATAGGAAGATCATGGTATTTCTTTTTTCATAGTTTAAAACAACTCATCATTCCGTACTATCATTTAGAGCTCCATTTATTGTGATGATTACTTTTCTAGAACCTAAAATTTTTTAAAAAAATGTATATTAATTGATATCAGGGAGTTTCAATTTCTCTCTACATAAAGCATAAATAAGGCTGTCATTTTGAATTAAAACAATGGAAGGAATCGCTGTGCTCTAAAATTATAAAATAGAAAACAATGTATGTAAATTAACTACAACTAAATTACTACACTTTTTTGTACTTCTATATACATTGTGCTCTAAGTAAGGTAGAATCTCAATACCAATTAGTTTCATAAAAAACAGTTAAAGAAAGGAGTAGGACATCTGGAAAAATCTACTCAGTAGTAAATTTGTCCAAGAGTTTAAAGGTGAAAAAACAAACCATTGTATGTTTAAAAAAATAAGGGTGTCTTTGTGCTATAATAAAATTGAACACAGTGTATAACTTAGCAACAATTTAATCAGATAATGCTTTTTTTTTTCACTTTTATACAGTGTATTCTTATTTAAGATACAATCATCATGCTAAGATAAAAAAAAATAATAAAATTAAAAAAAACAGTGAAAGAAAAAAGGACTAGAACATTCTGCAAAGGTAATCTAAGAGTTTCGGCTAAAAAAACAATAAATAAATTATTGTAGGTCAAAAGAATAAAAGGTAAATTGTGCTGTAGAATAATATTATAAAGCACAATTTATAACTTAACTACATTATTTATGACTCAATAGGTTGTATACTATTTGAGATAGAATCTCTATGCTATAAGATGGAAGGAAAATAAACAGCGTATGAGAGAGGGAGTAAAATATTCTTCCAAACTTACACATTAATTTTGAAATTTCCAAAATATGCAAAATAAATTAAATATTATAAAATTTAAAAAAAGGTTTATGTATCAATAGTTTCATTTCTTAGAAATGTGTGCACATGTACTTTCCTCTAATTAGATTTCCGTGCATGTAATATGCTTAGCATACTCAAGTTAAGGAGTGTGAAACAGTGGTCATTTTGAAATAGGAATCAAGCAGAAAGAAAGAGTTACTGAACTGTCTAATTAACCTTTCCTATATCAACTGTCCCACAGTTGGTATAACTATTCACTGGAATATTTCTAATAACTGAGCTTTCAAGATAGCATAGCAAAAAATTTAAAAATTTTTACTACTTTAAAACTTTAATTTTTGCAGGGGTAATTGTGAGCCCAACTCAAGAATCCTGAAAATTTCTTGAGTAAAATCATTAATGACGCATTGCAAAAAATTTATGTCTTTAGAAATTTAAATCATTGATATTTTCACAACATGAAATTCTAAATATAAATTTTTCTTTCCCATGCCCACCTGTGTTAACATCCGTCATTTCAGGCATTTGCAGGGCATTACATTTCTAAATAAATTATATGCAGCATAATTTAAATTAATAATTATGTATAAGTTTCCTTTTATCTCTACCCACGTCAAAATTCATGCTGGTACCAGCAACAAAAATATGCTAGTTTTTGCTATGTATTGCTAGGTCTGCTAGANAAAAAATATTTACAAACAAAAGAGATGCCAAGTATAAATTCCAGTTCTAATGTTTTTAAATAACTTATACAAGAATTTTTATACATAAATGTGATCGATGATTTCTTGAAACTTCTGCACCTTAGATTTCCGGAAATTTCGTGGTTAGCGAAAAATTAGGAAATCCAGATTTTTTCCGGAGCACAATCATCTCTGTTTTTGAAAAATGGGAGGGATAAACTGGAATTAGAGTATCTTTTTCCTACCTCAGTGACATTACTGCAAATAAAGGGGCCAAGGCCTACTGTCCCTATCTCAGTTTTCTTGACCTTGGACTCTGGGGTGGAAAAACAGATGTTCCGGTTGGGTGGTCAGCTGAACATGACACCCCCAGTGTTTAGTCCCAAAGCATGCTTGGCACTCATTTTATCTACCCACTAAAAGGATGAGTCAACCTTGCCTGGCTCAATGATCGAGCCAAGAACTTGTGGGACGAGAGTGCGAAGCTCTTTCAAAGGCAGAAAAATTTGCACGACAAACTTAAGACTGCAAGAGCTGTAACAATGATTGGCATATGCACATCCACAATTAGAAGATCCGTTTCATACTTCACATTTCTAAAGTTCTTGGGAAAGAAATGGTGTACAGTTAAAGAAATAGCAATTATCACAAGTTTAGAGTCCAACTTTACTGCCAAAATTATTTATTAACGAAACCGAAACTCAGAAAGAGAACAATGGTTTATAAGGCAAAATTAGTTACTAAACTGAAAAGAGAATCTGTGCTAAAAAACAGTTACCAACCAATATTGAAAACTGATTTATAAAGAAAGATCATTCAGATCTTCAGGTCTCATCTGACTGTTATTTCCTAAAAAAAGACAAACTTATTTGACAGGAATGGGATGAATAGAATTTCATTGAGTAGTTTTTGTTGGTGTTCAAACACTAAACTAAAAGTAATATTACTTAAAATAAATAGCTACCACCAGAAAGTAAAATAGTTATGCTAAATAGTAAATTATAAACAAATAGTCTTAAGGGTAGCTTTTTAAACAGATTTACTTATAATTAAAAGATAATAGATACAAAATAGAGCAACAAAAAAAAAGATAGCTTACCAGCTCTATTCCTGTGCTCACATAGCCAAATACCCTGCCAAGTTCCTAAATTTAGTTGCCCATTAGTAATTGGAAGAGTCAAACTCGAGCCCAAGAAACAGGCTTTTATATGAGCAGGCTGCAAAAATAATATATTTTAAAAACATATAATTGACATATTCATTTACAAAGGTATACAAAAGACCAACTTAGAATTTCCCTTCAAAATTTAAAGAAATAAAATTGATATTTTTGGTTTTGAGTAAGCGATTTAGAGCCACATATTTGCCAGTTTTTAGATTTTTAAAAATTTCATTTTATTATAGTTCAACCCATTCTCTGTTGCCATCGCATCTCATACATTCTGCATTTTTGTGCCTGTATGGTCGACGTCGCATGCCATGCAACAATGAGAAATTTTAATTCATTGCTACTTACACGTCGCTTTAAATCTTGCGATTGTTTTTGTATTTCTGAGCATTGCTAAGAGATAGTGCAACTAATCTCACTTTTTTCACAATTTTCGCAGTGAGATTTCAAGCCTTCAATTGAAATAAAAATAATTTTGTACTTTATGTAATTTCGCTTTCATTAGTGTTACCGTAGCATATCAAAATAGTTATGATAGTTTTGTGATATATGTGATTTTTACGCTCCGATGCCCAAGACTGATTGCAGAGCTGTTTTAATGGTAAAGTTGGAAAATTATTTTTCAAAAAATTTTTTAACCTTATTTTAATAATTATTTTATGCATTTGTTTATTTTAAACACCTTAAAGCAATAGAGTTAAATAAAAGTTAGTATCAGACTTAGTAATAATATCCAGTTAATCACCTTTCAAATTATTTTTTACAAAATAAGACATAACAGTTCTGATGGGATTTGTTCTTACGACAGTTTAATAACTTTAAAAGCTATTCAGGTTTTAGAGGAAAATGTTTAGCTACAGTAAAATTTTTTGTTGATAACCATTCAGAACGTATTCCAGTTGAAAGTTAAAAATTTAAAACAATTCTTTTGTTACATTTATTCTCATTTATAGTTTATATCTTCCTTATTAATTGTTAATAATTTTTATGAACAACTAACCATTATCTTTATAATTTTTAAAATCTTCAATTTAAATAAAATTTACTAATATGTGTCCCTTTTTATAGAAATGTAGAAAATAGAGATTTTCAGCAAGTTATAATTACTGCTCTCGATGTCTCTTTCTTTCGAGGGTAGTGTTAAAATCTTCCCAAACTGCAGGCTTCTCCCCAACATACCCTGGACCGTCTTGGACTGGACAAGAGGGACATTCTAGAAAACCCACTTTTAGTGGCCGACTTCCTCCGGGTCATGAATTTCACGGACATTGTTTAGCCCTGCTAATTTTGGGGATTAGGAAGAAGAAAAAGAAGACTGCTCTCTATGAACAATGCAAAAACAACAAGCAAACAATGACAAATGAACAATGAACAATGCTCTCTAAACAAGCAAAGAACATTAGTAAAATTTCAGGAAACTCACATAAAAAGCATAAAATGGGATAAATAAAAGCAACAATAGTTTGTCTATTTTATAATATGAATTTTATAATGCCTCATTGTTTTTTAACATTGTTTAGTATTATTTCATGAATCAATCAACATGTAAGTAGTATTTCACACTTAAAAAATTACATGTGCACAATATTTTAACATAAAATTGTCTTAAATATAATTTTAAACTTTCATAAACATGTATATATTTTTAAAAACAAAACTTTATTTACCATGTCATCTGGGCCCTCACAAGAATGCTTAAAAGGAATGCTCTAAAAAATATAACATTTAATTAATTAATTTCATGCCAAAACTAAATATAAATGCATATTTATAGCATTTTCTTTTTTCAAAAACACAATGTGGTACTATGTGAACCAATGGCAAAGAGAAAAAAAATATCAAAAAACAATTCACAGTTGAACAATGCAAAAGAAAAAATATAGCTCTTCAGTTACAAGAGATGCCAGTTTTCTTTCAGTTTAAATGAATAATAACATTTTTAAAAAAAATTGAAATAAATACAAACAATTAGAACTAGTGCCAAAATACAAGATAGATTCCATGTATTTGCAGTGGTGATAAGTTGTTTTCAATAACATAACAACTATATACTTATTTCAACTTTGTAAAATGTTTTTGAAAAATGTAATGCTCATTCCACCAAGATCTTGTTATCTTTAACAATTGAAAATATTCAAGATAAAACAAATTATTGAAATTAATGTATTTCAAATTATTGCTTTCAGTAAGTTGCATCAACCAATTCAGAATATTTTCACTAGCAAAGGACATCGATTTGAGATTCTCAGCATGTTATTAATTACAGAACTAGATCCGTCATCACAGTTAAGATATATTTTACGACTTGCCTTATGCTAAAGAATTTATAAGTCAATGCTAAAATTTCAATTCAATCTATTATATTTTAAGTTTGCCACAGTAATTTTTTATAGGAAATAATGTGATAATTATATGTGAAATTCTAAATTTTAAACTTCTTGCAGCATGGTATTATTTCAGAAGAACGGGTCAAAAGGTGAAATATTTATTTTTTTAGATTACATTATAAAAATACTTGTTTCAGAACTACAAAGCAATTACTTAAAAAGTTGCATACAAATTCAACTCTCTTTTTTTTAAACCTAAAGAACATAAGATGATCAGCTAAAACAAATTTGTATGAGTAAAATTTCATGACTGGTTTCAAGAGAGAGAAAAAAACTAATATTGAAAAAAGAAACTAAAAATATTACTAATTAGAATAGTATGTGCTAACTTCAATTTAGCTATCAATGCAAGTACATATTTAGCAGATTTTTAACATATTTCAACCACAGTATACTCTCAAACTTTGATACTGAGAAAACCTTGTTACGTCCAAACAATATTTTTCCCTGAGGCATTATATATCCACCTAAAGTTAATTTGAATTCCTATATCAAAGAGTTTCTTCTCAAAACCTTGCTACGTCAAATATTTTTAGTTATAAAAAATTTATTTTTTCAGAAAAATCAAAATGCAAATGTTTAATCCATAATTATTTTTGTCTTACTCCTAAAAGGAAAATTCTATTTATTGTAATTAGAATTACAGTCAATTATCATTACATACATATTTATTAGTAGTTATTCCTATCTTTCATGACTCTACTTCCTAGAATAATATTCTAGAATATATTTTTCTACTTCTTAGAACATACTTTGTTCTGAAATTGTTATCTTGAATTTTTTATAGGGTCCTTTCAACTTTAAGATATTGAGAGTAAACTGCATATCCATTTAGATATATGTTTATTTAAATGCAAGCATTTTTTAAAGTTATTAAATAAATAGCTTATTTAGATTGACAATGAAATTATTTGAATGATAGTTTTACCAAAAGAAATTTTGAAAAATTGATTGTTTTTGTTTTTTTGTTTCTTAATCTAACTGATTTGTTCATTTGATAACTCCAAAACAGGATCTTTGTCTCAGCAATTTTATGCGGGTGTTCAGCTTTGATAAAAACAACTAGTATTTAATATAATCAGTGATTAGTTTGTAATAATTACCAATAATTTTAACCATTTTAGGTTAAACTTATTAGTAATTATTAGAAATATTAATGAATTTAATTATAATATTTTTTTAAACAGTAACAGTAAAACATTACAAAAGAGCAACACATAAAAAATTTCAAAAATTTAAAAAAAAAAATTATTGCATTATCTGATAGTTTATACTTTTCACATTATTGTGCCAAAATACTGAATTGATTGTAAAAATGCAAAAGTTACAGCATATGTTAAACACAGCGTGCACTGTGACTTGTGTGAAGGAATTGTGCACTTAGCTGATTAATGGATTTCCTCACTCCTACCAAAACATTTTAGTAAAATACTATAATTTTAACTATCTTATTGAAACAATTTGCTTAAATTACATAAGAAAAAAAATTTATGGTACTTTCAGTATAAATAGTTCAAATTACATTTATTTCAAAGAGTTCTCCTTAATATTTTGGACAAATAAAAAAAAAAATCATAAATTATTATTAACTTAAATTTAGCAAAGTTAAAAAAGTAAGAATTTTTTTTTTCAAGTAATAATTTTTCTAATTTCAGGGATGAGATTGACCAAAAGGCAAAAAAGCTGAATTTCCAAGCAAGTAAAATTTACGTATGCGCAATCGGTCAACAATAAATTCCAGACAGTTGAAGATAATAAATAACAATGTGTTGACATAAAATTGTGTATTAATTTATTATTATATAAATGATTACATCGATACTTAACATTTAGTAAAAAGAAAAATTACCAATTGAAAAAATAAAGCTAGAAATTATATTTTTCTTCCGTTCACATAAGAGACAATTATTACTTGAGAAACTGTCTGGTTTAGCAAATTAAAACTACTAAGAACATACATTAACATTCTATTTCTGTTAATAAATACTGTTACATGATTTAAGGCAAATATATCTGTAACATGACTTTTTAAATTATTTTGAAAAGAAAATCAGCTTTTACAATTGGAAAATCATTATGTTTATATTATAATCTGATCTAACTAGAGCCCTGTGAAACATATCAATAACTGTGAAGTAAAAATATATAGTAACTCCTTAACATACAAAAATTGCTATTTTAGTTCGAAAAATTACATGATAATCAGCAACTGTTTAGATAATTATTTTTCATTTGATAAGAACTTTGCATTTTATAGCATAAATAACAGCAACATTATTTTTTAAATTTATTATTTTTTAAATTTTGCATTTTGATGCTGAGTTAATTAACTCCTTTTCCAAAAAAAAAAACAATTAATCACTTTTTAAGTGCTATATCTTTTATATTTGCTATATTTAGTCGTCAGTCCATCTTCAAACATCTTGTGACAAATCCTACTTTTTCTTCCTTGCAAGTCCAGAGTAAAAGTTTTGAATATATTCTATTCCAGTTTCGCTGATGTTGTAACACCTACATATACTAATAATCGTCGATAGAAAAACAGTCACCTTTAGAGTAACTAAATCAAGAAAAAATTTACTTCTTACAAGAATCGCAATAGTTGAGCTTAAAATTGCGCGAATGCAAATTGCAATCCTGGATTTTAAAATAGCGTGAATATGAATCACGATTATGGATTTTGAAATCACGTGAGTATGAAACTAGATATACGATTTTGAAAATGACAAAATACAAACTGCGATATAAAATTTTTAAATCGCGTAAATACAAATCACGATTCATAATTTTTAGATCGCGTAAATACGAATCATGATGCGTAAATTTTAAATTGCATAAATAAGAATTATGAGGCATAATTTTGAATGCAAATCCCAATGCCTTATTTTTAAAGCACGTATAAGACGAAAATCGATGTTTGATATTATAACCGCATGAGCGAATCACAGCATTGGATTTTAAACTCTTGTGACTGCGAATCGCTACATAGGTTTTTAAAAAGGCATAAATACAAATCACGATATCGGATTTTAAATCTCGTAAATAAGAATTGGAACACACAACTTTTAAATCACGTAAATACGAAAAGCTATGCTTGATATTAAAATCGCATGAATAAGAATCGAGATATTAGCAGATTCCAGGCTTGCGACTTCTAAAAGACTGTCTTGTCTGAAGCAGCGTCGTTTGAATTACGAAAATAAGAGCTATCTGGCTGGCGAGTAAAAATGCGGAAAATCTTATCTTCTGTGCGTAAAAGCGGAGAAAATAGCTCAAATAAGTAAAAATGCGGAAAGGGTTGGTAGCCTTGTAGTTTGAATTTCCTGTTTACCTTTGAAAATCGGAAATAAAAATAATTATTATATTTCAGTGGCTGAATTTTCTGAAAAAGCGGAATATTTATTTTTAAAAAAAGCGAAATTTTAAGAAAATCAGAGTTTTTGATAAAAAGGCTGAAATTCGAGAGACAAAAGTGAAAAAAAGCGGAAATCCGCTAAAAAGCGGAAAAATCTCATCCCTGTAATTTTTAGCAAATGGAGTTTTCTTTTCCTTTACTTAAATATGAAATTTTGAGAGCTAATGTAATTGTACATTGTGATTTTGTTCCCCTAAAAAAATTGAAAGACTGAGAGGACAATAGCACATAATTTACTGGAAACATTATTAGAAGACCCAAACAAACTTTTGGGTGATAAAAATTAGGAGAGAAGATGCTGCTAATGAGATGTGTGTAGTTAAAGAGTTATGTAAACAGAACTAAATTTTATATCTGTCATTTTGTTAATTACAATTTAGTAAATCAACAACAACCCACTGATTAATTTTAATGCATTCTTTTATAATTGCATATTTAATTAATTATCTATAAATGCAATTGACACGAAAATGATGAATCAATCATCTTTTTTATTTTGATTCTGACAGATAAGCACTCTTGGAATGCTTGCCACCTCTACTTTAGCACATACATCAACAAATATGCAGTCAGAGTCTTTAATTAATTTTTTTTAAAGGTTTGCTAATAAATTTATTGAAAAATTTTGGAATATATAAAATTCACAAAATTGCCAGCATAAATGTGAAAGTATGGGAGGACATCTGCTGCTTTGAATTGAATTGAATTATAATTAACTATAATTTAATTGTCTCTTAGTGTTATAAGAACAAATTAAATTTGCCTTAAAACAAAGTATAGCAGGTTTTCAGCAATTATGGTTAAAAAAAAACTCAGAATGAGAATTACATTTGTACCTGACTTTTTAAAAAAATAAACTCAAACTAAATTTGTTTTGAATAGGGTTATACCGGGTACTTGGTTAGATATTCTATACCTACGTTTTGCAAAATTATTTTACTACCCAATACATGGTTTTTAAACTCAACGCTTGTTACTGGCTACCCAGCCAATTTTACCTCGCATCCAGTGACAACATTTAGACATAACTATATTCAGGTTTATAGTAACTTTAATATACTATCAGTGTTTTCATCTCAGAAAAAAAATGGGTGAGAATTTCTCACCCTTTCTCAAAAACAGGGTGAGATTTCAAAAAGTTAAGTGAGATTTCAAAAAAAAAAAAAAAACACAAAGAGACNATTTTACCTCGCATCCAGTGACAACATTTAGACAGGCGCATCCAGTGACAATATTAGATATTCAGGTTTATAGTAACTTTAATATACTATTCAAAAAATAATTGTAGTGAAGAAAATTAATTTATTTCCTCAGTTTTTTAATTATCAAACCGAATTTTATTTTGAGATTTTTTTTTAAATTAATTGAAATGCACTTGAAAAACAGTTATAAGATTTCTTATGCCAGATATTGTAGTTTAATCAAATTTCTATTCCACTGTAAAAGAAGAAGACAACATTGACATTTCCCTTAGACTCAGACTTAGTCTAGGGACCACAGGTTGTGAACCCCTACTTAAGAGGCATCGTCAATAAAAAGCATTATCAATAAAAGATATCAAAATAAGCAGCATTATCAATAAAAGACATCAAAATAATAAAAAATAAAGACAATATCAGGGTGTGTAACCAGATTTTTAAACAAAAATAAGCACATTTTCAATACTTTTAAGACACTCAAAAAATATTTTTAATCACATTCCAAAAAAAATCATGATTAGGATCTGTGAAGTGATAAAAAATTGTTTTGTTTTTTTTCTATCGTTTAAAGTTCTTAATTTATAAACATAAAATCAATAAAATTTTAAAACATTTTCAAAAACTTCTCATAATTAGGACAGAATAACTAGTTTCTGATAAATATTGCAGAGAAAACAGTGAAAATCATGCAATTTTTGTAATTTAGAATGACAATCGATGCGGCAAAGAAAAAAATACCTTTCAAAAGATTTTTAAAAAATTAAGAATTAAAATTAATTATTTAAAAGAAAATTAAGTACTTTTTACAAACCCCAAATAAAAAAAGCACCTTTAAGATGTTTTAAAAAACATAAATAAAAAATAAGCACCTTTAAGCACTTTTTAAAAGCGCTACGCACCCTGAATATAAAAAAGTAACTTAAGGCTGATCTATTTCGAATAACTTAATTAAAAATGAATGCCAATAATGTATGAATGATAAATTCACAACAGAAACAATATCAGATTTAAAACAATAAAAGACAAGTGTTGGTATGAATAAAATATAAGTCTAATACTTACTTCAGGTACAAGTTGAGTCAGAAACATTTCCATGTCAACACTGAAAAAGATAAAAAATATTTACTATAAAAAAAAATAATAATAAATATGTAATTAAATTATGTTATATTTCATTTATAATTTATGTTTGTTTCTTATGAAACATTACTTTTTCAAGTGAAACAAACTAAGAAGAAGTATGAATCTTTTAACAACTAGAAATATAATTCAAAAGTAATTATGAAATGAAATCTTGATTAATATTTCAACCAGAATTCAGAATTAATTTATAGGCATACATATATAATTAGAGTCAGAGTAAAAGTTTAGGTTAATTTTAATTAGCTCAAAAATAATTTTAAAATAATTATTCAGTTAAAACTTTATTAACTTTACAACCAGCATTTTATGATTAAATATACATGCCTGCAAACTTTTGCACTTTCCAAAAATTATTTTCCTCAGAGATGGTCAAATGAGAATTTAAAAATCCATTTTTGTAAAAATATTTTAATAATTTTTCAGAGCTCAAAAACACCATCGAACAATTATCATTCATTTGCATATATGTTTAATTTGTTCATCTGCAGTGGTGATTAAAATTATTTAAAATCAAATGTATAATTCCAAACTGAAATTAAAAGCAAAAGTTTTGTAAGCACTTTAAATATAATTATAAAATCTACCCAAAAATATGGAAGAATTGACAGCTATGAATATATATAGACATAAAAAAATTATCACATTCGTAATATTGAAAATTTTTAAGTTATATTAGGCTTCTAATGTCACAGCAAAATTATCAATTGGTTCTGGTTTGGACCTTAAGTGTACAGTGCGCTCGTACTATTTTTTTAAATATAATTTATTATTATTTTATTTTTTGAAACTGACGTTTTGATTTGTATTAGTTGAGTTCATTTGTATCCAACTAACAGAAAAGTACCAAAATTTTTGGAAATAATTTGAGGAAATATTTAATTTCATAATTTTAAACCTAAAAATATTAATATTAAAAAAAATATCTTATTAATTTAATATAATCTTTAAATAATTTGAAATTAATATTGCAACAAAATAATAAGGCACTAAAAAATTCTCCTTCTTAAAAATTTAAAACTATTCATGATATAGTACAAAATCAATCTTACCGAACATGTGGATCCCAGTTCTGAAAAAAGAGAGATAAAAAAGGTATGAGTTTAAAAATAATCTAGAAATATTTCTTACAACTAGAATAAATCAAAAATATGTGAAATCATAATCATAATCACGGGTTGAAATAAGTGAAAATGATTATATTTAGCGATTCAATAATTTATGGCTATAAAATACTGCATGAAACACCGTCGTCTTTTTCTGAATTAAAGGTAACACGGCTAACTTCAAACAATAATTTTTCAAATTTGCACTTATTTGCAATTATTTAGATCTAAGAGAAACATTTATGCATCAGTGAAATTTCTTTAACTTTCAAAATGAATTATTGATAAATTTTTGAATATAACTAAAACAAAACTTTTTTCAAACTACTTTTTTTAGATTTTATATTTTAGTACAATTATAATTCTGATAATCTAACCTATTTTTTTAGCAACTTAGACTATTTTTTTTAATTAAAAAGTAGTACCCAAATATATTTTTGCTTATAGTTAGAGAAGAAGAAATATATAAAAGGGATACTGGTGTCCATCTGTGTCAAAGGGTTAATAATGCAAAAAAAAATATATATATATATCTTAAAATTGTAAATTAAGAACATCCTTTTGAAAAAGTAAAACACTCTCTGCTTGTGAAATTTATATTATTATAGGTTAAAAAAAAGAGATAAATGTATTTGTTTTTGTTTTTTTCAATTTAACAATAAGTATGAAAAACATATGCATGCATATTGAAATGCCCGAAAGCAAGTTAATTGTGAAAAATCTGTGTACAAGATCTTCTGAAAAGCAAATTTTTCTTTGCAGAATTAGTATTTGATACCTGAACTATATCAGAAACTGATACTATTAAGTTTTCTACATTAGAAAAAAGAATTAAAACAATATTTACCTCATTTAACGCAAGACTGGCAGATGTATGCATTACTGGAAAAAAAATCAGAATCAGTTAACATAACACAAAGTCTAATAATTTCAAAACATGCTCATTTTTAAATGTAAAAAAGATTTTTATTATTACACTAACGCAACTTTTTTGTAGTGTAATACAAAATATAATAGTTAATTATGTAATTATATGCTCAAATACCCATGTACTTAAAAACTTTTTACAATCCTGTTATAAAAACTTTTTAATAGACTTAAAAACATAAAAACAATGAAATATATTTTTAGACCAAGCATTATACAGAGCTGAGATTCTTTTATGAAGAGCCTCTACCATTACAACATCACAGAACCTACAAAATTAACTTTTTTTAGAATAATTAATACACAATTTGTTTAACTAAAAACTCCATACAAACTAAAGTCAATCGAAATCAAGCACAAATATGAATAAGAAACCTAATGCTTTAATAACTTTAGCTGTGCTTATCTTAATAATATAGAAAATTGCTTCCCCATAAAATCATCTATATGTACTATTTTACTTATCCACTACTTTTGCTATAAAATTGATGCTATGCCTATTTTTTAAATCATTAAACCAATTATTTATTCAACCTCAAAATCTATAAATTTCTTGTAACTTGAATGTCTGCTTATACATTTAAAATTCTTTCATTGATAGTGAACCTGGCTTTGAACATGTAACCATTTTAAAGAAATTTGTATGCCTCTTTTCTTCTTGCATTTTGTAAAAGTTTTGTAAAAGCCTCTGAAAAGCTACACAAAATTATAATTAGCTTCTCAAAGCTTTCATTTTTAAAGTTGACTAAAACAAAAGCCACCATCAAAATAAATCATGAGCAGATCAGATAAATTTCCCAACATTTATTTTGTACACCAGTGATTGGAAAAACCACATTGTTTTTGTAGTTTACTAAAACTACTCTGTTATTAACAAAATGTCTACAAACTACTTTCAACGCATTGTAAACTACTTACATAAATGTTGAAAATGGTTTTGAATAAAAAAGTGACTTATATTAAACATAAGGAACTAATACGAAATATATAATCATGTTTACAGTTGGTTTTTCTAAAACATTTTTTTCGAATATATTTATTTAACCTTCAACTTTTCTTGTCTTTTTCAAAAGTGAATATTCAGTTTTAGAAAGGTTTGGAAATTATCAAATCGTTGCAATTTCCTTTAAGTATTTAATGTTCCTTTATTTCCTCTAAAATTATGTACAACAAAAATATATTCCCTTCTTTTGAAATAGCATGAATGATTCCTGGGGGCATATTTGCAATTAAAAGTGTGAGCAATATGATAAATTATCTATTAGTCATAATTTCTTGTTAGATAAACCTCAACAAAGCAATTTTATTGCGTTCATTGATGCGTCCACGAAGATTTGTATCCATCAAATTCGAACATATTTTGCTTAAGAACCTTGTTTCTTTACTAAACTAACCTTAAAAGTAGCAGGGGTCTGTCCAGACATTTTGTGAAAGGCCCGTTTTTGAAAAATTGTGAAAAAATTACTCGTAATTTGTGAATATAAAATAAACATTAAGTTACATTCCTTCAAACAGGGTTTCGCTTTTGTGAATTTGTGCAAATAGGGTCCTGTTATTGCAAAAAACTTTTTCAAGGAGTTTTTAAATTGTAAAGAGATACAAGATCATGCTCAACACTGCAAAATTATAATTTAAAAAAATTAAATTTTTAAAGATAAACAGCAGTTGCTGCTACTAAATTAGAGATGCAACATACAAATATTTGGTATTTAGCCTATACTGCTGAATGCAGAATATTGATTGCGGACGAATAAAGGAAGAAGCGTCAGCAGAAGACAAAACTTACTTCGTTTACATCTGTCTTTCTTCCCCCCCCCCCTTGGGAAGGGTTTATTCAATTAACAAAACAATGATGAAGATAAACACATTTGTGAAAGGTCCAGTTAAAAGATAAATCATTTTGTGAAGGGTCTGTTTTTAAGTTAAAATATTTCATGAAGGGTTAGTTTTTATGAAAAGATATTTTGTGACGGGTTCGTTAACAGACCCAAATTTCTTCTAAACACACTACACACCCCTGAGTAGTTGCAAAGAAATGCTAAAAACTACTGCATTTTGTATTGCACTACTCACTGCACTATTTTTTTTTAAAAAAAAAAGAAGCACTCTACACTACAAAGTACAAAAAAAAGTAGGGACTGCTGTAATTTCACTATGTGTAATGAGCTACTTCTGTCCACCGATATACACAGACACACAAGGAAGAATCTATTTCATGATATGGTCATGCAAACTCATCTAGTCATGTGATTCAGGAGTAGCACATTATGTTCTCTTATTCTGATTTTTCATTCGTTACCTATAATTTTTGAACTAAAAGGCTTTTTAAAACATATTCAAGAATGGAATATTAATCGGCAGCTAGTTTACTTTTTCTCTGACAATTTCAATAAAATAACTTTCTTGTAGTTCAAAAAACTTTCCTCAACAAATCAAAGTTATGCTCAAAACTACATTTTTAAGTCCTTAAAAACCAACCTAATTAAAAATTTCCAAGTTAAATCTAGAATCTCATAAACCAAAATAAATGAGTTTGCTAAATTATATATTAAAATTAACAGCAAAATGTACTTTGAAATAATTCCACTTTTCTAATGAACTTTTAAAAAAATATAAAAGAAAAACTAAAATACTTTTAGAGGTACTATCATAAGCTAATGCTCTAAATCTTAGTTTTTACTAATTATCTCTCTGCATGATATATATTTCAAAAGTTTAAATTAAGAAAGACATATTTCTTCCTGATAATAAATACCATAAATATTACATCATGAAGTTTAAACTTAATTCAGATCAAAAAGTTAAATTTTTAATTGTATTATTATAAAAAAAAAAGTGAATTGATCATCATGAGGTCAAATATGGGTTAAATTAAAATAAATTATCTTTGACATGAAAATAAAGAAAATTTCTTCAAATAACTTTTTATTCAGCATTACAGTATTAAATAGAATGAAATTTTACATTAATTTACAGGTTGACTATAATATATTTGTTAACTATTAATTTAGAGTAGTTTGTTTTTCCACGGATATTTCCATATCGTTATCCATACTAACTATAATTGCCAAGGCAGCGGTATTAAAACTTCAAATTGTCAAAAGAAAAAAAAAATATACAGAATTATACCCTTTGAGCTGGCCCCCTTTTATAATATTCTTTTTCCCAACCCCCTGCCAGAAGGCAGCCAAGGTCAGGTGATTATTCTGCTGCAGATCCTGATATGAAAATCTACCCCTATTCTTTTGAAATAGGTGGTAATTGTTTGATAAGCAATGTATCACAACAAATTTTCATTAACAAAGCTGCACATACAATTCAAGATAAAAGAGTTAAAAATGCAAATGCAGGAAGCGTAAACGAATTTTAATTATTTATAAATCGACTTAAGTTTCAAAATAACACAAACCAATCCCTTTTAATAAAATAATTTAAAAAATTCGTCCATAGTATTATATTAAAAGAATAATATTATATATAAATTATTATATTAAAAGAATAAAGCAAAATTGCTTTATTTATCCAACTATAAAATTTAATTCATCTCAATCAACTCATTTCAGATCAATGTGCCTCAAAAGAATAATAAATTAAAAAATAAAACTATAAATTCGATCATATTTTAGAGTCTCAACTATTTCAAGTATTAATAACTAAACATGCTAACAAAATTGCGAAAATACTTTTCTTGTCGTTAAATAAATACATAAATTTTTTAATGCTTTTCAGAGGCGTACTTTGAATATGAAAAAGACCGACTGCAAAATTTGATAACTCAGGAATCTGTTTTAATATTTCATCAGTAACTAAATGACATCCTCTGTGAACTGGTCGAAGATTTATTTTTTTCTGAAACCAAGCAGAACCTTGTTTCACAATTCCATTACTAGTACTAGCAGTCGCCATATCTTGTAAATATTTCAGAAACGAAAACTAAGTCCAAATAATTATTTTGATGCCACCTCAGAAAGTTGAATATTTCTGGTTATCCGGTTATTTAATCTAGAACGCTGCTAACTACCTATGTTTGTGTGATAGATGATCTGGGAGAAAATAATTAAAATATTGGTAATTTTTCCAACCATTCTCACTGAATGCAAATTCTTACGCATGCGAATGAGAAGAGGTTAAATGGAAAATATTAACCGGTGAAAAACTTCCTGGTTCCTGTCCGCTTGCCAAAAACTTTTACTTTTATAACTACTTTTATTTTGGAAATTTTTTGAACTCATTTTTATTGTTACACGTGTATAAGCAGGCATGTGTTTGCTTATTATAAAAACGGCGCAAGGATGGATAACACAATCAAGAGAAGATATCAGAAAAACACAAGCATGGGAAAGATAGGATTCGAACCCGCTGCCTCTACGCTACAGAGAGTTTGGCTAAATTGTGAGATTGCTTTGCCAAAATTTCCTCCCTGCATAAATTGAAAAGCGAAATGAAAGGGGGTATTTCTAACAGAGCGGTATCGCCCGCAAAAAGCAGTACGAAGAGTGGGGGTGGCGGGTTCGAATAGAGCAGTAACTCTGGATGTATTCTTTGTGATGTCCTTCATTAAACTGTTCTGTCTGTCCTTCTACTTGACAAAGGCTAAGGAGTAAGTTGGGTTCCAAACTTACAAGACTCCATAGTTAAAAGTTGATAGTCTTAAACTCAAAATTGGTTCGACTGTTCAACGCCGGTTATAAAATGAAATAAAAGAGTATAAATTTGTTTTAAGAAAGGCAGAAAATAAGATTTAACTGTTTTTTTTAAAGAAAAAATAAATTTATTTAAAAAAATTGATTGCGCAATGAGAGTGTCCGAATAAATTTATAAGTAATACAATATATGGAATTGCAGTTATGAAGTACTTTGCTATGTCTTTTTTCATTTTGGTAGCATCATACATACCAAAAATGTTCAAAAATATTGAATAATGTCCAGAAAGTATGTTCTTAAATATAAAAAAGAAGTTATAAGAAAAAATCTTTCTCAGTTGAGAACATGTCTTGTCAAAAAATATATGCTCCTTGAAATAATTATAGAACAAATAAAAAATTTAAATCCAGTTAAAAACTACGGAAAATTAAAAAAATGGGTGGTTCCAGATGAGATAATAGAACTAAGTTTAAAAACGATCTAGTTAACCCCCTTTTTTTTCTTCCTTTTTTCCCCATCTTCTAATGCAAGAAAGCAAAAGTAATAATTTTGAGGCAAATAATAATAGATATTTTATTTAATGTAAGGGAAAATTTTAATTAATGTTATAATTATTATAAAAATTACAAACATAGAAGCCAAATAAAATTACATCATAGAAGCCAAAATTTGGGCTATTCTTTTGACTAAACTATTGGGACCATATTTCTCAGATTGCGGCAACACTCCTTATTTAAGAGGTCAGAAATCCAAGTCCGTAGAAGAAAGAAAAGTATATTTATTCAGAGAAGATTATGTTTTTTCAGAGAGCTTGAATAATTTTGGCTAAAGACCGCTATTTATTTATTTATTTATTTTTTTTTTGATGATCAAAAATAAAAAACCTTTTTTTATGCATTTAAAATCATTTCATTTCTCATTACGAGAAAGAAAATGAGGAAAAGAAACATTGTTTTTGTGCTATAAAATAATCTTGAATTACATTGGCTACAAAACTTTTTAAATTTTTTTTTAAAGACAACAATAAAAAAAAATAAAAAAACGATACGATCTTTTTCTTATGTCGTAAAGTATAAGATTTAACATTATGAGGGGAAAATTTAAGGCGTTAAAAATTGTTGCATCTCAATAAAAAAAATCTTTAATTTGCCAAAAAATTATTTCATTAAAACTTTTTAAAAGTTACATAAATATTTTCTACTTTTTAATAGCTTAGTTACATGGTGTTTACTTTTTCCTTTCTAATGACACCAAGATTAAGAAAATTGACTCATAAATAAAAAAAAAAGTAAACATATAGACATTCTTAACATACGAGCCACGATTTTCTTAAATTGTGCCAATTTTCAGAATGACCCCCTTAGTTTTGGTCCAAAAATTTAAATAAAATTATTTTAGTCAGCTTTCATGAAGACCTACGTTCTACAAAATTTTTTAATGAGAATCTGTGGCTTGATGGCAACAACCATTGGACGATTTTTCTTAACACGAGCCACTTAAAAAATCATTTGCACTGCAGCGGCAGTTTTGGGTCTTCCCCCTAACTTTGTATTTTGCTTTGCTAAGCGACAACTATAAGATATAAAGGTGTGTAGATAAATGTACAAAGATTACGATGCAATAAAAATTGAGATTTAATTATTAAATCTAGAATTATCAACTGTTAAATTTTTTAGTAAAAAATGCCGTACGGCTCGATTTACAACCCGATGAAATGCATCCACGGAATTAAAATTTAAACGCCAGTTATGTTTTTTTTTTTTCAAAAAATTTCTAATTTGTCTAAGTATTGGAATTTAAAACGCCTTATTCGCAATACTTTTCTTCACATTTTTTTTTTTTGTTTTAAAATTTGACTATATATACATTGCTGTACGAAAAAGAAATTTCTCTCGAAAACTTAAATTTTTAAGCTCCCTCTTGAATTTGTAAGAAAAATAATTAATAAAGTAAAAGAAAAAATTTTCTATGCTGGAGAAAAAGAGAGAGATTGGATTTAAAAAAATATGACAATCTTAACATCTATATCAAATTTTTTTTAAATTTAAGCTTAAGAGTGATAAAGCCTTCTCCAATTGAAACTGTTATAACAATATAAGATCCTCATTTTATATGATTAATGGGTAAAATTACTTCTCTTCCACATCCTTTTTTCGTGTAATATAATTTATATTTTAAGTCTAAATATTTTTATACTTTTTCTGAAATAAATATGAATATATCCATGTCTGTGTGTCACTAAAAATGCAAATAATTAAGAAAACAAGACAAAAATATAAATATTGTTAAAGAAAAGAAGGAAAATTATAAATAAAATGTTTTTTTAAAAAATATATTTTTAAAAAATATAAAAATCCGGAAAAACAAATTAAGGAAAAAGACAAAATAAGAATAGAGCTCGACATCAGCTCTCACGATTATATCCGTAATAAAGAGTGCTGTCTAATTAATATAGCATAAGCAAATTATATCAAAACAATAGTCTGAAGGGCACAAAAAAAATTCTAGCGAAAAAGAGACATAGTAAATAAAACACAGAATGTATCATTCATATATATATATATATGTATGTATACATTATAAACCAAACGATCTTTTTGTTTAAAAAAAGAAAAAAAAACATATCAATGTTTAAGAAAAAGTACAATGATGGATGAAAGAATGAAGCGAATAGGGGACCGTGACCTCTCAGTACACTGAATTTTTTGAACTGAAACATTTTCTCAGGGTTTTTTGTAGAAAGCTACAAAAACATCAAATTCATAATTTTTCAAATAAATTAATGCAACTCGTTATGTTATTTCATAACATGTGAATACAAAGATGGCCAAAATCAACTCATTTTCCCATGCATAAAATTTTAAGTAACTCTCTTTTACATAGACTTTCAATTTACAATGCCAATTTTGCGCAGAATTAATTGCTTTCAGAACAAAACAACCCAACAAAATAGCGATGGAGGATTGTAACAATCCTTTTTTTTCATTAATGGAACTAAATGGTTTAAAAGAATGCTTCCTTTCCAGGTCCAACCTTGTTTAATATGAAAAAGATTGAATTTCAAATAATAAATTAATGACCCGATTTTACGTATCAAGTACAAGTTGGACAGATTTCACTTTCGTTCAAGGAAATTATTTAATTCGCGGGAGTGGCAACACGGAATCTACCAATGATAAAGCAACGTGGGTAGAATTTCAATGGAATTCGTGCCCTCTTCAACCCATCTGAAAATTGGAAACGTGCATTGCTTCTTTTTTTCTTCCTAGAGCCGGCAGAATTATCTCGAAATAATCTAAAAAAACTTTATGAGCGACTTTATCAATATTTCAGGAATTTAAAGCTATCTTTCATTACGTATCATGCACAGAACGTCACGATATGATATGTTACGATTTGAATGAAAGATTTAATTATTCTCTATTTGGATATTTTTACTCAATATTAATAAACATCGAAAAAACTACTACCGGTATCGCTCTTTTTGAGGCTATGAAAAAGCCTTTTTTATTAGTGAAAGCATTTTTTTTTCAAATTCTAATTTGTTTAATAGCTACAGCAGTTTAAATGCCGAATCATTGCTCTTTTTTTCCCTCTACATAATTTTATCTTATATATTTTTTAGCTGCTAAAAAACTATAAATTATAGAAATTGCGAAGAAATGCACAATACGATGGAACAAAAAAAATTTGGTTATCAGTTCGAGAAATATTTATTTTACTCTGTTAAACATGTGAATGCAGAAAAGAAAAAAAAGAAAAAAAACATGCGGGCTTCTCTGCACGAAATTACAATCCTTAAATTTGACTGGCTGAAAGGGTCTTTATTTATTTATTTATTATTTATTTTTTCAAAAAAAAGTCAATCTTTTCCTTAAAATTATTAAAATTTTAAATTTTTTTTCCGAGAAATTTTTGTTTTTTGTTTTAGATAATGACAATTTATCCATTGTTATAGTCATTGCATTGGTATAATTATATCGGACGATAAGGCATCCTAACATAAAAAGAAATTTTTTTCTCTTAGAAAATAATCCATTATATCAGGGATGGGCAAACTACTTCCTGCGGGTCAATAGTGGCTCACCGGAAGATATCAGGCCCGCAGATAGAATTTTAACTTACCAATCCGTGGCGAATATAAGCAATATACATCTATTTTCTTGTTTATTCGTTCAAAACTATTTTTGTTCTTTTTAAACAAAGTACTGATGATCTTTCTACTTTCTCTATTTTTATTCTACGAAACATAAATTGAAGGAAATAGACAGATTCAATTGGTAAAATGTTGAAAGCAGAAGCTCTTTATAGAATAGCCGTAAATTTCATCTGAAGCAGT